GTGCTCAGGTGTTTGAGGTGTTGCTGGTGTCCCGGTCCCTCCCGGTGCGGCTCCATGAGCGAACATGGGAGCTCCACTTGCCTCCCCGCGTGTTCACACAGCCTCCGGTGCTAACAAGTCACCCCTGATTAATCGCTGATAAAGGAGAACATAATTTGCTGATAGAAATTGAGCTCAGGGACCACCCTCTCCCTGCCTTTTATTTCTGTGTCAACACAGAGTGGAGGCGCTCAGAGGGTCCTGCCTGCACCCACCACCTGCCACCACGAGCATTTTTACCCATGATAGTTGCCCTGTGGAAATGTTTTGATTTTATGTGTATTCACTCTAGAATGGCACATAAAGGCTTGTTTGTGTCTTGTCAGTTCTCTGCTGACAGCTAATTCCCTCATCCTCAGGGTATTTAACATCACTGGGTATTAAAAAGTTGCTTTTTGCTGAAGATAACCTCTACAGCTGGCTAAAAAAAGAATCTCAGCTGCAGAAATCCTCTTTCCAGTTTCCACAGACTAATTATTATAAACTGATCTGAACGAGATTCACGCAGCAGGTCTGCAGGGTTACCAAGATGAACACCTTGCAGAAGATATTTCTTCCATGTATTCACATAACTTTCACTTGAAATAAATCAACATGCAGAAAAGCTTGAGATCTTTTCCCTTGCAGACTCGTTCCTCTCTTTTTCAGTTCTAAATAAAGAATAGCAGTTCTTAATGGCTCATTTGTCATTTTCCTGCACTTGAAAGACAATAATTGATTGTGACAACTACACTTGCTCCATCTTACTTTGCAATCACAGTCTTTTTGGAGTTATTTTTTTTCAGAAAAAAATAGATTGGGTTTTGTTGAAATAATTTACCCTTCAAAATTCACCCTCCTCCATATTTATCATATCATTCTGTATACATGATTTCTTACTGTGGTTGATAGCACTTGTCTGTTTTTTTCAGCTGATGTTACAAAGTGGCCTGCTTGTAGACCACCATGGTTTTAAAAACAGCAAAAACATCACACTTCTTAATGTCACTTTGGTCTCACTCTATAAATATCTGAGAAATTAAAAGTTAAGCTTATTTCAGACCAAAGTAGAAGCTGAATATGAGGACTTTTAGCAACATGTTCCTCAGAGAAAATTCAATGTGTCAAACCAAATGTACTTCTCCAGAATATTGAGTCGTTGATCAGGACAGAAACTGTGTTTCTGTCTTCTTCTACTGAAATAGAAAATGAAAGATGAAGCTTTTTTCCTGGGAGACCTGCTCTCAACAGAGCCAGGATACTTAATGTATTTATTTACACATAAGTTGTAATGGTTTGGGGTTTTTTGGTAGGAGGTTCTTTCAGAGAATAATAGGTAAGAGATAAGATTACTGCACTCTGATATTGTTGAGAGCAAATTGTGTTGGTTCTTTTCTGCTCACACCAACTCACATCACTTTTTCTTGTGTCTTTCCCCCTGAAAGGTCACCCAGAATTCTCTCTTCGTTGTTTTGTGTAGCCTGAATCATCACACTCATTCATTCTCTGTTTTTCCCCCTCAGCCAGTGCCATGGTGATCTGTGAAAAGTGCTGCTCTCAGACCTGAAAGCTGATCCCCAAAGCTCTGATCCTGCCCAGCACAGGTGTCCAGTCTTGCTCGTGTAGTCACAAGGCTAAAAATGATGAGTGGAGCAGGGATATTGGAATCTGATCTTCATTTACCTCATGGTTGCCAAGTCATTCTCCTCTAACTCATCACACTAGTGCAATCTCTCTGCTAAGTAAATTTTACTCATTTGTTACCCTAATTTAATCCTTATTTTTGTGCTTCTGAGAGCATGGGAGGCTTGACTTTTCCATCTTGCTAAGAAGGATGGCTGATCTTATCTATGCCTACATAAAGACACCAATAAAACTTGCTTTGAAATGCCAGTTTAAAGTAGATCTATTCAAGTAGTTTGCAGTTGTCAGTGGCTTCAAGATCCACCATAATCTGTGGTTTACTGGAAAAAATCCAGTGGCTGGAGCACAGCTTCTCTGGTGATCCCTTGTGTGTGCTGAAATCACACAAGGCAGATGAAGATAGTGTGAATAAAAAGAGATGATGCTATACCAGATTTATTACACAAGGCAACTATTTGAGACTGATAACTTTGGGGAGATGTAATTGGAAATACCTTTGCACAGTAAAATTTTATGCCAACATTTTCTTTTGTTTTGCTGACTAAAACATGAAGAAATTATTTTTATTGAGGTTTTTATGACAAGTTTCCTAGCTGTCAATGTCACAGACCTACAAGATTCAAAGTACCTCAGTGAATTTCTGAATTTGAGTCCTGAACACTGTGAGGTTCCACCTCCCTAATAATCCTGCATGAGTCTTTTCCACCCAGTGCTGTGGATACCACTGATACTGAATCATGTGCATTAAATTAGACTTTGTAAATTTGGAATATGATAAAAATATCCACTTCGCAATTAAAGGTCAGTTTTTAGCAGCAGGAAAATTCAGTGTGATTGATGCATGACACCAAGAGAGTTTCTCCTTCAAGGTCAGGTAATTACCAAGTATTTTTATTCTCTGCTCTTCAGTGTGTCAAGTAGCAGCACAAAATAGGCTTTCTTGGACATCACCGTGTTCTGAGAATTATGGTGAGGCACAAACCCGTCAGTAAACACTGAGCTCATGCAGCTATGCCTGGTGCAGAGAAGTCCTGTGGGCTGGAGGAATCTTCTCGGCACAGATCAATCCAGTGATCAGCAGATGGAGGTTCAGCTTTCTGGAGGTTCTGGTGTGTTAGCACAAGCGTGTGAAGCAGTAGTGACCCAGCCTGCTGCATCTGCCAGCTCTCACAGCCAGAGAACATCTTTGCCATGCTCAGACTGGAGAAGAATCTACTTAACACATGCTTGGGACATTTGGAGTGGTCAAGGAAAATGACAGAGCTCTCCTTTACATGGCAGAGTTCCAGCACAGGGGCCAAATGCTTTGTGCTGTCCTACTGTCTTCTGCTTATCCCTAGAAAATAAACATTGCCTGGAATTTTGAAAGCTCTTATGCAGTTGAATATGCAATTTCATTTTCCTGCTCTTACAGACCCCAAAGGGTGGTTTTCTTCCTCATCTGAGGACTAAAAACTTCCATTTCTTCAATTTCTTCTATTGTTCTTTGTACAAGAGCCAAGGGCCTTGTGTCATCATCAGGTTCTGCAAAGACTTGAAGAAGCAAACAGAACATTTCCAGTTTGCATCCTTTCTTGTAGAATTTCAAATCTTCGTTCTTCTTACCTTTGTTTTCACTTTACACTATCTTATATAAGATGTTTTCAGTCAATCCAGATTTCATATACACAATGATACAAGATTCAGTTGGTATAAATGTCAAGAATTTTGCATCTATTCTTTCCACAGGAGGTTTATTTTGCATCATGCATCATTTGTTGATTTGTCTCTGGTATGAGAAAGAAACAAACTCTGTAAAATGTTTGGTCTTTACTAATGGAGAAAGAATCCATTCTCCAGAAAGTCCTTGTTCTTCTTAGGAAGCCTTTTGTAACTTTCAGTTAGTAATTTTGGTTTAGGGACAAAGCTCTCTTATTGGAGAGGAATAAAGTTACAGTGACTCATCACAGTTCTGCTGACTGTGATTCCATAAATGCTTTAACTCTGCCTTTCTGCAGCAGTACAAAAGTGGGAAGGCAGATGGAGCTCCTGCACACCGAGTGCCAGCGTGCCAGTATTCAACCTTTAGACATCATCCACCTTTGGCTCAAACCTTTTTATTTTCAGTTTATTCTTTATTGTATTTGTTAAACTGGAACTGACTCCTTTTTCAATGGCACAGTAATGCTAGTGAAAAACCTAATTTCAAGGGAAGTTATTTGCACTGCCTGGTATGCTTCAAATCAGCATGGCTCAAAATGGAAGCTTTTAAAACAGTTTATTGCTAATTTGGGCTGAACTAATTTTTGAGGGAAATTTCCTGGTAATCACATTGATTCTGTTGTGTAATAGACTCCCGAAGAAGTAATGGAAAGCACTGGTCATTTGGACAGGCTGCATTTGGAATGGGACAACCCTAATACAGAATAAGCAAGCAGTGGATTTTGTCCCTGATCATGCAGTTTCTGCTCATTCTGAATTCCCACTGATCTAATTAATCTCAATTGGAAAAAGAACAATGC